ATCCTTGACACTGCAACCTCTTCTCCCCAGCTCTACAGCTCTTCAGGATCCTGGGCACACATGCACTAGGCTAGTGTGTTTTTAGGATGACCTGGGAATCCAAACCTGCCATCAGTCATGTGGCTTCCTGTACTGCAGTTTAGTATGTTGCCAACTGTGCCACCAGGCCAGACATAGCGAGGTTTCTTAAACCTGTAACATGGAAATAACAAAATAACTATCTCTCTTAGGGTGATTAGGAGGCCTCAATGAAATGACTCAGGTAAAGCATATAGCACTGTGCTTGACACCTCCCAAGCACACAGCAAGTGAAGCTTTCATGACATGGTTTATGTTCACATCATCTTTTGCTTTAGCTATTTGCAACACTTTTCTTTGAACTATCTCTCGTTAGTCTTGCCCTTTCACTCCATTTCCCCCACAACTGACAGAGCAAATTTTCAAAAACACAAATATTATTATGTTACTTCCTTGCTCAAAACCCTCCAGTGATTCCCCCCTGCCTTCAGGACAGAGTCTCCATTTACAAGTGGGGAAACTGGAGCTTGGAGAGGTTGAGAAATATGCTCAAGGACACACACATAGTAAATGACATAGGGTTTGAACCTGGGCTCTCCAACTCCAAAGCTGCCCTCTTCACCACTAAGCTATTCTAAGGATGAAAGGATGGTGGTTAGAAGGGGTGGGTGGATGAACAGATGGAATTGTAGAAGGTACAGAAATAAGGATGTCTGGAAATCTAGAAGGATGGCTGACTGTGGGGTGAAAGGATGGGTGGTTGGATGAATAGAAGAGTGGAAGAACAAAAGAAGAGAAAGATAGATGAATGGACTGAAGGATGGAAAGATGGAGGGGTTCTCTTAAGTTGCACTCTCTTCTTTCCTAGCAAGAGCTGCATCCATGGACACCTACCTGAGATGTCTACTGAAAAATGCAGTAAGTACTGTGGACCTTTCCACTTCCTAGTTCCTATTCACCTTTTTTTTCTGATTAAACTCAAGCCAAATTCATCCCTAAACAAGTTTCACTTGGTGATCAGCTTCTAGTAAACTGACCACTTCTGTCTTCTCCCAGAGCTCAAGTTTGTCCATGACCAGGGATCAACTTTTGTATCTTAATAACATTTAGTAGACACTTACAGTATGCTAATTACTTAATGCTCTTATTTCATCTTCATGATGCCCTGCTGAGGTAGGTACTATGCCTCTCTCCATTGTGAAGATGAAGAAATAGGTTTACAGAGAGTTTAAGTAATTTACCTAACGTTGCACAGCTACAGAGTGGTGCCTCAGCTTAAACTCAAGCAATCAGATCCAGGAACCACACTCATTATGACACTATACTGTTTTCTCATCTCAGCTACCTCAGTGGTCAGCTGTACTCCCAGTATTTGAATGGATAAGCTATTATTAATTTCTGAGAACTAGAGCCATGCTTTCTCTTCTGGCCTTATCTAAAGCACTTCTCACACATTGGGCAATTTATATCGAACACTAGTCATGATGAGTCACTGAGTGCAGATACAGAAAGTATCGCCATTATCAAACAGTGGTGATATGGGCCACGAAGACACCTACCATATGGGATTAAAGGGCTGTTGATATCTTAACTGAGGGAAACATTTCTTTAAGAGGCATAGTCTAGTTGGAACAAACAAAAAAACTGAAATTCTGATGAATGAGGTTATGCGCAATCATGTCACCTAAGTTAGTTGAAAATGTACCGTTGTAGGGGCCAGCAGGTAGCATGGTGGTTAAGGTGCTAGGCTCCCATATAGTCAACTGTGGTTTGAGTCCCAGACCTGGAGGTTTACTTGTGCCCTATTATGATTAAAAAATGGTAATAATAATAGTAATAAATAAAATTAAGTAAATGACTAGTTTTTAAAAAGGAAAATGTACCTTGTGGTTTCAGATTCTGGGAAACCTAGCTTCTAGCTCCAACCCCGCCATTTAATTAAGATATGTGACCCAGTCATTTAATTAAGATATGTGACCTTGGCCAATACTTGACATTTCTTTTTTTTTCCTTGTATAAAACTGTTTTTATTTTGTCTTTAGTCTTTTTAAAATTTTTACTAAGTTTTTATTATCATCATAATCTTATTTATATCACATTGAATTGCATATAACTTTACAGTGTATTACATTGCTTTTTCAAAAGGGAATGTCATGCATGTCAGTCAAAACAGAGACATTAAAATCCCCACTTTATCATTCAATATCTCTTCATTGTTTTTCCCGATCATTATTATTATTATTCCAATTATTTTTTAACCAATCACTATTTCTCATTTTCCTTGTAAAAAGACTTTACCCATCATGAAATACTTCTCAGACCAATCCAGTTGAGAATACTATACACGTCATCATCAACAGGTAATAAGTCATATCTGTGTCCCACTAATGTCACGCCTCTCTATTTGTTCTCTTGCTAGCTTTCTCTATTCTCTTCTCTTCACCCCCCCCCATTCCACACTGTCTTATTCTCCTTAAGTATTTTCACTGCTTTTATTTTGCTCTCTACCATAGAGTGTGGATAGTCAGTATATATTAAATTGATACATACAATATCTTTCTTTCATAGCCTGGCTTACTTCGCTCAGCAATAGATCCTCCATATCTGACCACTTTCTATCAAATGCCAGGGTCTTGTTATTTTTTTTATGGCTGAGTAGTATTCCATAGAGTATATAT